GCTCGGGTTTGGGCACCACCGGGGCCAGTTGCTCATCCTTTGGTGGCCAGTGCCAGGGCTGCCTCCCCACCGCCAACCCTTCATGGCAGGGTCTGGGGGAGAGAAGAGGGGCAGCTGGCCTGGAGGGGGGGGCGGGGGGCGGTCTGAGCCATCAGACTGTGTTAGAACCCGCTTCTGAGCTGGCCCTGCCAGGACTCCTGTCTTGCTCAGAGTTCAAGCCCCAGGCAGCCTGGCAGCCGGGAGGCCCACACCATTGGCCACCTCTCTGGTTTCTGACCTCACTAGCCGGCCTCCTTGGTGCAGCAGTTCCCTCTGGAAGATTCTTCCCTAAACCTACACAACTTCCCCCTTTATTCTCCCACTCTCGGAAGGCCAGAAGTCTGAAATGAAGATGTCAACAGGTCCACGCTCCCTCTAGAGCTGCGGTTCTCAACCTGTGGGTCGCGACCCCTTTGGGGGTCGAACGACCCTTTCACAGGGGTCGCCTAAGACCATCGGAAAACACATATATAATTACATATTGTTTTTGTGATTAATCACTATGCTTTAATTATGTTCAATTTGTAACAATGAAAATACATCCTGCATATCAGATATTTACATTATGATTCATAGCAGCAACAAAATGACAGTTATGAAGTAGCCATGAAAATAATTTTATGGTTGGGGGTCACCACAACATGAGGAACTGTATTAAAGGGCCGCGGCATTAGGAGGGCTGAGAACCGCTGTTCTAGAGGCTCCAGGGGAGGAGCCTAATGCCTCTCTCAGGTTGGGGGCTCCAGGCTCTTGACTTGTGGGCACATCACTCTGGTCTCTGACTGTGGTCACGTGGCCGTTTTTCTCCCTTATTCTCTCTGTGTCTCTAAAATAGACATTTCTCATTGGATTTAGGGCCTATCGGGATAATCCAGGAAGATCTCACCTCAAGACTGTGGACTAAAGGGGCCACATGCTGACCTGACAAGCTCAGGGAAGACCTGCATGACGGTCTTGCAAACTCAGAGACCTAAAGTAACCACAAAGGATGATCTGAAATTAAACTTTAACTAAAAGCAGTTATGGCCCTAGCCAGCTTGGCTTAGTGGATAGAGCATCGGCCTTCGGACTGAAGGGTCTCGGGTTCAATTCCGACCCACATGCCTGGGTTTCCTGCTTGGTTCCCAGTGGGGGGCGTGCAGGAAGCAGTTATTGATGTTTCTATCTCTCTCTCCCTCTCCCTTCCTCTCTGAAATCAATAAAAATATATATTTTAAAAATAAATAAATAAATAAATAAATAAAAGCAGTTAGAGTGGATAGTCCTGTCCTAGGCCGCTATCTTCACTGACAAGGTCAACCTTTACCTTAACTGAGCCTGTCTGTCTCTTTGCATCTATAATAACATGTCCTTGAAATGTCTTGGTAACTTGTAACTTCCCTTTTTCTGGACCCCTTGGGGCACAACCTAATGTGCCTGGGTGCCAGGACAGATACCACACATCCCTTCATTGTTATGTTAATTATTCCTGCACCCACCTAAGTATGTGTCTATCATTTTACTTTTTATCCAATCCCAGAGGTTTCCCTGCTTTGCTTTCTCCCGCCTCTCTAATCTATCACCAATGAATTTCATGTAACCCACATATGTCCCTTCTTTGACTGCAATGTATAAAAACAGGAAAACCCACCTTTCTCACTATCCCAATCCGTTGAGATATTGCTTCCTGGCAATTGTCAACAGTTTGGCTCAAATAAACTCACAAAAATTCTTTACAGGTTTGAATGTTTTTTATGTTAACAAGACCCGTAAGAGCACCTGCAAAGACCCCCTTTCCCAAATAAGGTCATGCTCACAGGTTCAGGGATTAGATGTGAATATAATCTAGTGGTGACCCCCAGCCCAACTGGTCAGTCCACAGCACCATCTGAAACTCGGACCAGCAACAAAAGGCTGCTGGTGGGGCCTTCATGATTGCAAAGGCTTAGGGCAGGGCGCTGACAATTAGATCTGTGCCCCTGGTTTATCTAGGGGAGCCAGCCTCCTCTTTGTCTTCCCTTTCCCTTCTCAGTGCTTCCATCCTAATCTTGCCAGCCAGCTGCTTCCCTCATGAATGTTTCAGGGTGAGCGCGGCCACATGCTCACCTTGCAATTGTTTGATAATTTTGAAAATGATCCTCTGTGGCAGGAGCAAGGCTGGTGAGTGGGAGCCAGATGGGGGTGGAGGGCAGGTATCCCAGGGCCTCGGTTCTCTTCTCGAATCAGATGGGAGTGGAGGATGGTGCCTCAGTTTATCTCTTTGTCAAAACAAAGGGGCATGGCCAGGCCTGTCCCTCTTCACCTCCCTTTGGTTTACCTTCCTGTTGCAAATGAAAATAGCTTAATAGTTCTGGATTTAGTCCCATGTTTGTTTATCCATTGCCTAGATTACAAAGCCATGGGGTGTGGGGGACCTGGGTTTGGGCTTGGGCAAGTCTGCTCACATCTTCCCTCCCCCTAGAAGACCTCCCAGACTTTCTGACCCTTTTTCCACATTTCTGTTGAACTGAACTAGGGCATCGGGGGATTAAAGAGACTGCTCCCAGCTCCTCCAAGCTGGAGCTCCTCCCCCGGCCCCAGCTGGGTGGCCTGGACCCTCTCCTGGACCTTCTGGGACTCTCTCAGGCCTAAGCATATTCAAAAGCTGCCTCCAGCCTGGGTCCATCAGGGAACAGCCGACTCCCCAGCTACCAGACCTCAGCTGGTCCCCTCCTCCAATAGGCCCCAGGCCTCTTCCTCCACTATCCCTGCCAGGCCCTGCCCAGCCCCCTGTCTCTGTAAGGTAGGGAGGGGGTCTCCAAGGTGCTTCCCTTGAATTGTCGTGGTCACCTCTCAAGGGTCTTATCATAGATCCCACATCCAGGGCTCAGACTCCCTTCCCCCAGGCCCCCAGGCCCCCAGGCCCTCAGGCCAACGGCTAACTCCCTAGGCCTTACCGGCCCAAACCAGCCTGGCTTGCCCGCCCCACCCACCCACCCCCAGGAACCCACCCTCTCCCCAGGTCCTGCCCTAGAGCTAGAACTTAGTTTCCACCTTCAGCACTATACCACCCCCAGGCTGATCCACACCCCATGGGAGCTCAGCTAGTGCTGGGTGCCTTCCAGTTTTAACTCTTTAATCCTCTGAGTGTGAAATATTATCACTTCCTTTCCCCCAGCCCAGAGACCGTTGAGTCAGCTGCCTGAGCTTCTTAGCCTGTAAGATACCCCCAGGCCGCTCCGCCTTCCCTGGGCAAACAGGCCTGTCCCACAAAGAGTCCACATAGAGTGACCACCTGACACAGCAACACTTCTAGGTATGTGCTCAAGAGAAATGAAACTCAAATTCACACAATCACTTGTACAGGAGGTGCACAGCAGCCAAAAGTGTTCATTGACAGATGAACGGACAAACGAAACGTGATGCAGCCACATACACAGTGGAATGTTACTCAGCCATGAAAAGGAGCAAAACACTGACAAGCCATGACGTCCCCTATGGCTCCTCAGGGCTGACAGTGACCCTCATCTCCTGGCCTCTGTGCTGGTCAGACTTCTCCATGGGAGGTCCCTCCCTGAACTGTCCTCCCAGGAGGGGTCACCATGTGCAGCCCATGAAGAGGGGTGGGCCAGGGGTCTTTCTCTCAAGTGGTCAGGAGCCCAAATGGCTCAAAGTCATGTCGGGGTCCCTGCTGGGCACTAGGCTGTGCAGAAAGCCTGGGCCTCGGAAGATGGACGATAAACACAAAGCTGAGGGCAGCAAACATCAGCAGGCAGCTGCAATGGCCCCTGCAGGAAATGCCAGAGAGAAAGGCAGGAAGGGGCTGGGGCAGGTCAGGGCAGCCTCCCTGAGCAGCCGCATTTAATTTGAGGGGGGAGGGCTAGCCACTGGACTGCTGGGCCAAGAGTGTGGAGGACGGAACCACCAGCGTCCTGTCAAGGGTTGAATCATGGTCCCAAAAGATGTGTCCACGTCCTGACGCCCGCACCCATGAATGTGACCTTGCCTGGAAATGGGGTCTGTGCAGATGTAAACAGTTAAGATGAGGTCACACAGGAGTGGGGTGGCCCGAATGCAAGGACTGGTGTCCTTATAGGAAGAGGGAAATCTGCATACAAACGGGAGAGACCACAGTGACAACAGAGGCAGAGACGGGGGGTACTGAGGTCACCAGCCCGGGACACCAAGGTTGCTGGCAACACCAACATCTGCCCTCACAGCTTCCAGAAAGAACCAGCCTGCTAGCACCTTCGTCTCTGACTTCTGGCCTCCAGAAAAGGGAGAGAGTAAATGTGTGTTGTTTTAAGTCATCCAGCTCATGGCTCTCGGTCATGACAGCCGCAGGAAGCTCATTATGCCTTTGAGAAGTGTGGCCAGTGGGGTGGACGGTGGCGGTCCTGTCTGGGCTGGCAGCTTTGCCTGGTGACAGGAAAGTTGGCTTGCTTCCGTGGCCCTTGCAAAATTTATGAAAAGGAGGATGTCTTGATAGGGAGAGGGAATGTGAGCTGGGCTGTAAGTGATCCTATGGCCATCTGTTCACTCCAATGCCCGCCTGCCCACAGGGTCATGGGGCCATGGGCACCAGCTGGGATGGAGCAGATCAGGGGCTCTGGGCTGCCCAGCATATCCTGACCAGGGTAGGGGCACAGACCCAAGTCCTCACTCACTGGGGGTGAGGACCCCAGCCCCATCCTGGTCACGGCAGCAGAGCCTTTCCTACGTACAGGAAAGCAGCCTTTCCCACCCAGAAGATTCTTTTTGTTCCCCCCTCCCCTTGGATACTGGACCATGCCTGAGGACATTTGTGGTTGTCACACTGTGGGTGTTCCTGACACCAGAGGGCCAGGGATGCTGCTCTATATCCCACAAGTGCCCAGGATGCCGCCCCCCCCCCCCCCCAAGAGTAACTGCCCAATGTCAGCTGACTTTAAATAAAGCCCCTGAGTCCTCTGCAGATGACCCCGGAAGGAGGTCAGGCTGCACAGTGGGGGGACCTGGAATCCCGGTAAAAAGCTAATTCTGGAAGGATCCAGGCGCACTGGAGAGAACGTGCCCCCAAGGCAGGCAGATAGGACTCGAGGACACAAGGAAGAACGGCCCTTGCATTTCATAACAGCTAACATATGACACCCCAGACAGCCAGCCTTCCAGTGGTGACATTGCCGGCATCAATAGTTTATAGCAGGAACGGACACTTGATCTGGAGTCTCAGGCAGTCTGCTTGGATGGCCTCCGGGCCACCTGCCTGGGTAGGCTCCTGAGGACCCACAGGGGGTCAGGACGGACCCTGTCCCTCATCTCGGGCTGGACACACACGCGTGTGGTGCCTGGTTCTACAGAAGCCACCCTTCCCGGAGTGGAGACACTGTCGCCAGCTTGTTTTCATTTGGATGGGCTGAAGGGTGGGGTTGCTTACTTGCTAATCCACAGAAGAGGGAGGAGAAGGGGCCAAGGCCCCCGGCTCCGAGTTCCTCTGCAGTTCCGAACAGACGTTTCTGTAGAGAAGATGGACAAATGACTAACAAGGCCATGAGAAGACGCTCAACAGCATGAGGCCTGGAGGAAATGCTGCCCAAACACACTCACAGCGAGACGGTGCCTCACACCCACAGGATGGCCACTGTTCACGTGGTGACCACAGGGGTGGACGAGGACTTGGTGAGGTTGGAACCCTGGTGCACAGCTGCTGGGCTGTGAAACGGGCAGCTGCTGTGGAAAACAGTGGCAGTTCTCCTAAAGCAGCAGTTCTCAACCTATGGGTCGCGACCCCTTTGGCGGTCGAACGACCCTTTCACAGGGGCCGCCTAAGACCATCCTGCAGATCAGATATTTACATGACGATTCATAACAGTAGCAACATTACAGTGATGAAGTAGCAACGAAAATAATTTTATGGTTGGGCCACAACATGAGGAACTGTATTTAAAGGGCCAGAAGGTTGAGAACCACTGTCTGGAGTTACTGTCTGACCTAGCAATTTCTTCCTAGGAATTTCACTCCAAGAGAAACAAAAACACATCCACATAAAACTTTACACGGAAACAAGCAAAACACTGTACACAGCAGCATGATCCACAAAAGCCATAATGTGGGAACAGCGGGTGTCCATCAACAGATAAATGTGCCCCATCCACACGCTGGAATATTGCTTGGCCGAGAAAAGGAGTGAAGCCCAGATACGTGGATGGGCCTTGAAACCATGATGCTCAGCGAGAGAAGCCAGACACGGAAAGCCACAGTGTGTGATTCCATTTATGTGGAATGCCCAGAGCAGGCAGATTCAGAGACAGGAAGTGGGTTAGTAGTTGTCAGGGGCTAGGAAGGGGCGTGGGGAGTGGCTGCCGATGGGGGTGGGATTTCTCTTGTTGTTCCTGAGGCTTTTCTGCACTATTTTTCTTACTGAGTCTTAAATGTGGGCATGTTAAATGCTCGTTGCAGCCCTAGCTGGTTTGGCTCAGTGGATAAAGCACTGGCCTGCAAACTGAAGGGTCCCGGGGTTCGATTCAGGTCAAGGGCAAATGCTGGGGTTGCGGGCTCGATCCCCTGTAGGGGGCGTGCAGGAGGCAGCCAATCAATGATTCTCTCTCATCATTGATGTTTCAATCTCTCTCCCTCTCCCTTCCTCTCTGAAATCAATAAAAATATTTTTTAAAAATGAAAAGGCAAGTATTTTTTTTAAAAAAAGCTCACTGTAAACAATTAGGTAACCAAATAGAAGAAAACTAAAAATTACCTGAAACTCCCACTACTCAAGTCAGCAGTAACCACCTATAACCTCGTAGGCCTTCCTTTCAGGTTTCCTATATCTATTTTCCTTTTTGTTTGTTTTCTAATCCTCCCCCGAAGATATTGTTTCCGCTGATTTTTTGTTGTTTGTTAATCCTCACCTGAGGATATTTTTCCATTGATTTTTAGAGAGAGTGGAAAGGAGGGGGAGAGAGTGAGATACAGCGATGTGAGAGAGACGCATCCATTGGTTGCCTCCCACATACGCCCCAACCAGGGGCTGGATCCAGCCTGCAATCGAGGTGTGTGCCCTTGACCGGAAATTGAACCTGCGACTCTTTGGTGAGCAGACTAAGGCTCCAACTGCTGAGTCATGCCTGCCACGGCTATATCTATGTATGTGGTAAGGAAAGTAAGTGGATACATAAATGTAGATATGTGTATACGTATATACACATACATAATGTCTGTATACACATATATAATCCCAATCATGCTAATATTTTCTGAACATTGGTTAAAATCTAAGTATCATAGTAACCAATTCACACCCCCCCCAAAATAATACAAAATAAACATGCAGAGCTCCTGTGCCCTGTTCCTTGCATATTCCAGCTGTTCCAAGTTCACACTATTTGCTCCCCGACATTTCCAAGGCCCTATTTTCCGCCACAAAATCTGAGCGGACATACAGTCGTTTTTTTGTGTTTTGTAAGATTGGCATCATGCTCCCAACCCCTGTGCATCTTCCATCCTTTGAGTTTTAAATGGTCCTCAGGCCATTCACTTTATTGATTTCATATACTCCCCATATACTTTATTGATTTCAGAGAGGAAGGGAGAGGGAAAGAGAGATAGAAACATCAGTGACGAGAGAAAATCATTGATTAGCTGCCTCCTGCACGCCCCCTACTGGGGATCGAGCTCACAACCCCAGCATGTGCCCTTGATCAGAATCGAACCCGGGACCCTTCAGTCCGAAGGCCAACACTCTATCCACTGAGCCAAATCAGCTAGGGTGCCATTCATTTTTTCATGATGCATTTTGCATTTAACAACCAACTCAGTTTCCCATGTTAGTGTAGCAAAACATTTAAAAATAGAGTAGAAGAGGAAATAAATGTCCCCAGTAATCCAGAGGGAACAACTGCTAGTGTGTTTGAGCAGGGGCTTTGAATTTTATTTTGTAGTTTTATTGTGTTCACCAAAGTGAGACTTGCTTCCTTGTTCCTTTCCCCTTATTTTATATCCTGAAACTTTCCAGGTGATATTAACATTTCCTCTGAAACATCATTTTTTTTAAATTGTAAAATATTTTTTTAAATTAGTAAAAAAAAAAAAGTGTAAAATATGCATACCATCACATTTACCCCTTTCACCATTTTCAATCCTGCAGGTCGGTGGCATCAAGTACATTCACACTGTAGTGCAGCCATCCATCCCCACAACTCTTTCATCTTCCCAAACCAAAATTCTGGAAACATCTTCAACGTTGGCAGGGCTGCCGGTGCTGACAGTCTCACGTCCTCCTCCTGGTCAGCGTTTCTGGGGCTCCCTCCTCACGTGGGCAGCACCTCCTTCCCTGGGCTTCTTTAACCGCAGGATGTGCTGGGGGCGCGCAGGCATGTCCAGCCCTAAATCTGGGTGCCCCGTCATTGAGGACAGGGGTCAGGCACAATGTTTCTGGCAGCCCCACCCACATTCCAGAGCAACGGGGAGCCCTCCCCAGCACAGCTGACCTCAGAACACTGCCTGTCCTGGACCTCCGACCAGCCCACGCCCAGGGTCTCCCTATCAGAACAGCAGAGTTCAACAAACAACAACAACAAAAACCCAGAAAGACAGAGATGATAGCAATTCTTCGTTCCCTAAAATCAACATCTCCTTTTGTTGTTGTTGTTTGGTTAATCCTTACCTGAGGGTATACTTTCCATTACTTTTTTAAAAAATATATATTTTGTTGATTTTTGACAGAGAGGAAGGGAGAGGGATAGAGAGAAACATCGATAAGAGAGAAGCATCGATCAGCTGCCTCCTGCACACCCCCTACATGGGGATGTGCCCGCAACCAAGGTACATGCCCTTGACTAGAATCGAACCCGGGACCCCTGAGGCCGCAGGCCGACGCTCTATCCACTGAGCCAAACCGGTCAGGGCTTTCCATTACTTTTTCAGAGAGAGTGGAAGGAAGGGAGGGTGGGGAGAAAGAGGAGAGAGAAACATGGATGTGAGAGAGCCACATGACCCGGTGCCTCCCGCACCAGCAAACCACAACCCAAGTACATGCTCTTAACAGGCAATTGAACCCCAGACCCTTCAGTGCTGGGCCCGCGCTCCAACCACTGGGCCACACCGGCCAGGGCTACCTCTTTATTCTTTGAAGAAAGCCACATTTCCCTCCCCTGCCCCAGCTTCTCTGTCCAGCTCGCAGTTTAACCCTTCCCCCTCCCCCAGCATGATCCTGGAGGAAAACTCTAGAATTTGTTGGGCAGGCACAGGCTCCTTCCTTTTTGCTGAAGATAAAACAGATCCAACCATAAAAAACAGACACACACATACCAAATGCTGGTGTTTATCTCCAAAATGTGGAATGTTGTGTCATTTCCAGACATTGTATACGGTTCCGGGAGAGGGGCCTCAGCACACCAGGCCAAGGCTTAAGAACACTGCTCCTCAAGTGCCCGCCCCCTGTTCCTCCAGCAGCCTGCAAAGTTCATGCTTATTCCTCCCTGCGAAGCTCTCTGGAAGCTTCCACGGGGTTCTTTCACGCCCAAGAATTCAAGCTCTGAGGGGTCCCCACTCAGATCCCCAAATGCCCCTTGCAATAAACATGCCGGGAGGGAGCAATCGCAACCCCAGTAAAGACAGCAAAATTCCTTAGTGTTAATAATTTTCTTTGTTCCCTCCCACAGAGCACAGAGGCTAAGGGAGCCTGGGTGGCCTCCGGTCCTGAACGGTCAGCCTCAGCCGCACCCGCACCCGCACCCGCAGCGGAAGGGGACCTGGACGCATTCCGAGCATTCCTTCCTTTGTCCCCACTTGTTTGTTTGCTTGTTTTACATGAGATGGCCAGGAACTCCTTTTTCTCTTTGTTCTCTGCTGCCGCCAGCATTTAGGGACTTTGCATGTTCATCCAGGAACCACCCTGGGACTTGCTAGTACCCTTCCAGGCTGCACCCCCTCCCCCAGAGACACCGCACTGGGGTTATTGCGTCTAAGTGTGTGCAGCTGGCCCTCATGCCCTGGGCCACCGCAGGCTGGTCATCCACGGCTCACTGGCCTCAGGCCACGCCCATCAACACTGTCCACTCTGCAGCCAGGACATCTGTGCCTCCCCACACTTAGCCATTGGGAAGAGGGAGGTGGAAAGAGATTTCAGCCCCTTGAAGGCCAGGCTGGGTGGTGGACACACAGGCCTGGACTGAGGGGAGTTTCGGATACTGGTTATGAAACCCGACAACCAATGGGTCCCGGCTGCCTGTCAGTAATTGAACCAACTAAGCAGATATAGGGTTGAATCGTACATGAGTGTTATTCTGATAATGCCAGCAGTATGGGAGAGCAGCAGGTCATCCACAAATATCTGTTCTGCACACCCCGCCCCATCCCACCCCATAAGCCAACTGCTTATACTGGATAGAAGGGCAAAGATTACATGGGAAAGTAGGAATGACAGGCATGGGGAAGTGGACAAGGTGCAATGGTTACAGGTCACAGGCCATGCGGGCTGGGGGCGCCCAGGGCTGGTGCCTCCGGGACCACGTTGTTTCAGCAACAAGGTTGTTAATCTTTCCATGATGACAGGCAGTTCTTGGAAAAGGAGAACGGACTGCATTCCTGTCCCCGGGCATACAGCTCTCTGCCCAGCTAGAATGTGCTTTCTCTAATCAGAACAGAATAATCCTGGTTAACAGAGCATGATTAATATTTCTTATAATTGTAGCTAGTTCCCACTATTCTATTTCTGCCCCTAACAGTTAGACAGTGGCCAGCCTTGGAGGCCAACCAGATTCCCGGTGGGGAAACTGAGGCAGGGGTTAACATCACTCCATTCCAAAACTAAACTGATGAACAAAATAGATCCAGAGACATAGAAACATGGAACAGACTGACAAATCTCAGAGGAAAGGGGTGGGGGAGAGGAGATTAACCAAAGAATTTATCTGCATTTATGCATAACCCACGGACTCAGACAATAGTGTGGTGAAGGCCTGGGGTGGAGGGGATCAATGAGGTGAAAATGGGGGACATCTGTAAGACTTTAAACAATAAAGATAATTTTTAAAAAAAATATTTTTTTATTGACTTCAGAGAGGAAGGAAGAGGGAGAGAGAGATAGAAACATCCACCATGAGACAGAATCATGGATCAGCTGCCTCCTGCAAGTCCCCCACTGGGGATCGAGCCCACAACCCGGGCATGTGCCCTTGACCAGAACTGAACCTGGGAACTTTCAGTTCGCAGGCCAACCCTCTATCCCAGCGGTTCTCAGCCTGTGGGTCACAACCCCTTTGGCGGTCAAACGACCCTTTCACAGGGGTCGCCTAAGACCATCCTGCATATCAGATATTTACATGACGATTCATAACAGTAGCAACATTACAGTTAGGAAGTAGCAACGAAAATAATTTTATGGTTGGGTCACAATAGGAGGAACTGTATTTAAAGGGCAGAAGGTTGAGAACCACTGCTCTATCCACTGAGCCAAACCGGCCAGGGCAATAAAGAGAAATTAAAACAAAACAAAATCATTCTCCGAGGTCCTCAGCTGGATCCACACCGATGTGTGTGTATTTATGTCCCCCGTGCCTGGTGCCCAGTGGGCTCGCACTTGGAGGCGGACTGACCCGGGTGGGGTCCTGGGGTGGGGGTGGGGGATTTCAGGAGCTGTTCCCCACCCTGAGCCTCCATGTGTCTCTAAAGGAGGGACCAGGGTTGCCCCGTGTGGAGCTGAGGACTGGTCTGTGGGGACTCTTCAACCCTTAGAGAGGAAACCTCCCTCTGTGTGACCGCGACCTCCTCCAGGAAGGAAAGCAGGACAGACCAGCGAGCACAGGCCAGGCCTCCGCAGGGTCCCAGCACTCAGGGGGCTGCAGCTGCTCCGATGGGACTGTTCTCAGGGTACTGGGGCATTGGGATCTGGGCCAGTCCTCACAGGGGCTATCCTAGGGCCTTTCCTGTTACACAGGCCCATCACTGCGGCCAGCACCGGACAGGCACACAGCGGCCATCACAGGGTGTGAACAATCCGGAAGCAAAGCTGCTTTGAGCACGAATCCTTTTTATAAAAAACATGCTTTCATTGATTTTTTCAGGGAGAGGAAGGGAAAGAGATAGAAACAGCGATCAGCTGCCTCCTGCACACCTCGAACTGGGGTCAAGTCCACCACCCGGGCATGTGCCCTGACCTCCTGTGCATGAGATGACGTTCAACCAACTGAGCTACACAGGCCAGGCTCCTTTTTTAAAAATTGAAGTGACTGGGGGGTAGGGGAGGCCAGGGGATTGTCAAGGGCGGGGGGGGGGGGGAGGACACATCTGTAATACCCTTTGTAATACTTTAAGCAATAAAACAATAAAAAAAAATTTAAGTGAAATTCACATAACATAGAATTAATCATTTTAAGTGACATTTACTATATTTTCAATCACCTCTATCTAGTTCCAGAACATTCCACCACTCTAACAAGAAGCCCTATCCCTATTAGTAGCCACTCCCCCATCGCCTCCCCAGCCCCGGACACTAACCCACTTCCTGTCTGTGGATGTGCCTGCGCTGCCATTTCACATAAATGGAATCACACGACGTGGCCTTTTGTCTGGCTTCTCTCACTGAGCGTCCTGTGTTCAAAGTCCATCCACGTCGTAGCGAGTGTCAGTGCTTCACTTCCTTTTAAAAATTTTTTCATTGAATTTATTGGGGTGACACCAGTTAATAAAATTATGTAGGTCTCAGGTGTACCATTCTATAACACAGCATCTGTGTGTTGTATTGGCTTCGCTCCTTTTTATGGCTGAATAACACTTCAGTGCGTGGCTGAACCATGTAGTGTTGGTCTGTTCACCTGCTGTTTTGCTTTTTGGCTGTTGTGAATTGTGCTGCTGTGAACAGTCATACACATATTTTTGTTTGAAGAGCTGATTTTGTTTATTTGGGGTAGAGACCTAGCAGTGGAATTGCCGGGACAGAGGTAACTAAGTTTGGCTTTTTAAAAAATATATGTTTTCATTGATTTTTTTAGAGAGAGAGGAAGGGAGAGGGATAGAGAGATGAAAACACTGATGACAAAGAAACATCGATTGGCCGCCTCCTGCATGCACTGAGCCTGGGTCTGTGCCCTGACGGGGAATCAAACTGGGCAGCTCTTGGTTCATGGGTCGATGCTCAGCCACTGAGCCATACCAGCTTTGCCGGCTTTTTTATTATCATTATTTTTTAATCCTGAGGATATGATTTTTAAAAAATGTATTTTATTGATTTTAGAGAGGAAGGGAGAGGGAGAGAGAGATAGAAACATGAATGATGAGAGAGAATCATTGATTGGCTGCCTCCTGCACACCCTCTACTGGAGATCGAGCCTGCAACCCAGGCATGTGCCCTTGGCTGGAATCGAACCTGGGACCCTTCAGCCAATGCTCTATCCATTGAGCCAAACCAGCTAGGGCCTGAGGATATGATTTTATTGATTTTAGACAGAGAGGAAGGGGGGGGAGGAACATTGATGTGAGATATATCGATAGGTTGCCTCCCGCATGCACGCCAACTGGGATCAAACCCACAATCCGGGTATGTGCCCTGACCAGGAATCAAACTTGCGACCCTTTGGCGTACAGGACTATGCTCCAACCAACTTAGCCACACCTGCCAGGGCTCCAGGTTTGGCTTTTTGAAGAACTACTGCCCTTTGGCAGTGGCTGGCTGGTCTTCCTTCATTCCCACCGGTGAGCCGGCTCCTTCGTGGTGCGGTGCACACAGAGCCTGGGTCCGAGTTCCTGCTTTTGGCCCCGGAGGCTGCCCTGGCTGGAGAGCCTCTTGGTGAGGCTGTGCGTTACACCGAGTTTGCATTGCTGTCATTTGAGAGCTACGTGCACGGGGCGGGGGGGGGGGGGGGGGGACTGTATGAAGCCCCCTGCACCCTTCTCCTGGCGCTCAGGTGTAGGGTGGATCCAGGTGAGGTTGCTGTTGCCCAGCAGACCTGAGGCACCACAAGGCAAGTCATGGAAGCGAGTCTTCTGCCGTTTTACTAGGGAGGGGGAAACCTCACCAAAACACCCTGACCTAGTTTTTCGAATATTAGACCCCTCGCGTGCAGAGAGACAGCTCATCAGAGAGCACTGCCTGGCCCTCGGCACTAGTAAGGTCCCCTTTCTGTGGAAACCCTCGAATTGCCCGCTCATCTTCTGCAGATCGGCGCCCCAGCTCTCCTAGGGGAAGGTTCATGGATGACAGAATCAAGGCTGAGTCCAGCCTGGAGCTGGTCCCCCCCTCCCATCTCTTCTGCTGAACCTCTGTGCTTCTCCCCACCACGATGACGTCACCTAGTTCACCATTGCATGTGGTTTTCAAAGCGTTCACACACGTCACCTTGTTTGCTCCCTCCACAGAGCTAGCCAGCGATGCAACGGGCTTCTCTTCCCCCATGGAAGTTCCGTGGCCCACAGGGAGCCCGTGTCTGTGGTGAGTGTGTCCTCCGCCACCTCCGCCGCCACCGGGTGGTGCTTAGTCTTGCGGCACAGGCCCCGCTGAGAGGCTTGCTAGCAGCCGGAAGCCTCATCTCCATCAGCATCTTGGTGCCAATGAATACATACAACTGTTATAGGTCAATCATCCTCAGTAAAGCTGGGAAAAGGACTGTGGGAAGGGTTTGCTCCTAGAAAGGTGAACTGGTGGGATAAGTGAAATGGTGAGTTAGGACAGACTTTTTGTTTTGTTTTTTAATATATCTTTATTGATTTCAGAGA